TGAGATTGGTAAACGAGGATCCCATATCAGCTGACAGCAGCTAACAAAGTCAACAAACTTGTCTGGACATATGCAAAGTCCTTTGTTTTTCCTCCTGAGGCAAGCATGAAGATATAATAAGCACTTTAGGCAGAAAACACACCCAATAAAACCCTGTGGCCATGAAATACAACTGCACTGAGACACTTAAGACATGTCTAAACACAAAGGGTTGTTCCAAATAAAAAACCGATTCACTATTTATCTAGACTATGCAAGTCACCTGGTATAAACAGTTCAGTATTGAATGAAATGCTGGTAAGTAAATAAAAATAAGCACTGTTCAGACTCACAGAATGGCTTAGCACTTAGAAAAAGAGTGAAGTTACAACACAAAGAGATTATAATGCAATGTGAACATATTCAGAACAACAAGACACGCAATCAAAATGTCCAGGCCTGTCAGCGACAATCTCCCCGTCTAAGCAGTACTGCTGTTGACAAAACAACAGCATCATGTCTGGTTTCTCACGTGTTTACAGTGAAAACGCGTCTGCAGATCAGACCACAGCAGTAAGCTGTCGTTCAAGACAGCAGCCCATTACAAGCACACACAGGCCCCTCAGCCACGTAGAGCATTTTAAGTCTATGGAATGCAAGTCTATGCTGATAAGTGTCCAACTAGGTTTAAGATTATCAATAATCTTAACTGTGGACTCAGAGCAACCTGCAACTGCGTCATTCCTTAAAAATGACTTGATTTACTTGACAGAGAGTAATATTGTGTCAGCATGAATTAAAGTAGCAATCCAGAGTTTTCCACCTTTCAGGAATTATGTATGTTTTGTTATAAAATCCCTAAAAGTAACAGTTTTACCCTGTACTGTGATATAATGTAGTCAACTGATTTTTTTGCTAAGCTTGATGCCCTGTCCTGTGAAGCCCCATGCAATTTGACTTGATCGCTGCTCAGTATTAGGCAATAGCATTACACATCTGCTTATGTACTGATGTCAACCACAGAGCGGGCGTGAACATTTGACCTAGACTGATGCACGGTTAGCAACAATTCTTATGGCCGAGGAAGCCATTCACATGAGAATATTAATTGTAAAACAATGTGCTTTAGCTCTGTAGGCCTGCTAGAGGTGTACATTTACAAACAGGTGCTGCTTTCAGCTGTAATTTGGGCTAGGACAATAATCAATAAACCAATTCATCGTACGATGGATGAAAATGAACTCAATCATTTTTACAGCTTCAATATATTGAGAAATGTACAACCTTATTTTTATTTATGTCATTATTGAAGTGCAGTTTTGGTTGTGACACTGGATAGGCCATTGTATTTATTGTTTTGGAGAGACAGGGTCTATTTCATTGCTTTTGGTGCAACATTTTCTAACAGAGAGTGAGAGTCCTTTTTTGTTTGTTTTGTTTATTTATTTAGAAGTTCTGGATCTGGACATTCCAATGTTGAATATAAGTTTAATTGTTGCATTTTAAAGGATGTATTTACATTATTATGATATATTAACATTATATAAGTGGTTATTTTGGTCTCGATAATGTCGACAATAATATCGTTGATCGTCAGTAATTTGTTGGACAATAAATCGTCCGGCAAGATTTGTTATCGTCCCAGGCCTAGCCGTAAACAAAGATGTATTGAGAGGGGCTTAAGGTACAATTTAAAATGTCTGCCTCTAGATGGTGCCCTCTGAGGAAAAAGACTCCAGATTTCTGCTTTAAGCTACAAAAAAGTAAAAAAATAAATAAATTGATGAAAAAGTTTAGACTTTTAATGAGAAAAATAAAGTGTCAGGTCAAACAAAAAGTAATATCTAAAGGGAAAATATGATCCCAAAAATGTCATGAATAAAACACACTTTTTTTTAACTTATGCACCAACCTCGTCTCGTCTTCCTCCGCTTATCCGGGTCCGGGTCGCGGGGGCAGCATCCCAACTAGGGAGCTCCAGGCCGTCCTCTCCCCGGCCTTGTCCACCAGCTCCTCCGGCAGGACCCCAAGGCGTTCCCGGACCAGATTGGAGATGTAACCTCTCCAACGTGTCCTGGGTCGACCCGGGGGCCTCCTGCCGGCAGGACATGCCCGAAACACCTCCCCGGGGAGGCGTCCAGGAGGCATCCTGACCAGATGCCCAAACCACCTCAACTGGCTCCTTTCGATCCGGAGGAGCAGCGGTTCTACTCCGAGTCCCTCCCGAATGTCCGAGCTCCTCACCCTATCTCTAAGGCTGAGCCCGGCCACCCTACAGAGGAAACTCATTTCAGCCGCTTGTATCCGCGATCTCGTTCTTTCGGTCATTACCCAAAGCTCATGACCATAGGTGAGGATTGGGACGTAGATCGACCGGTAAATCGAGAGCCTGGCTTTCTGGCTCAGCTCCCTCTTCCCCACGACAGACCAACCTACTCACTGATTATAATGGGAGTTCATTTCTGCACACTCCCTAAAGAAATAAATTGATTAATTTTTAAATATTTTTTTAACATTGCAGTCTTGCATAAAGTGAATATAGTTTATTTATTTATTTTTAATTTCAAATCCCCATCTGGACCATAAATGCTTACTTAAGAATTCTATATGAAATATGATGGGTCTGCAACCCTATTCTTGAAAATAACTATTTGAACAATTTATGTCGTAATTATGTCAAATAATCCTTACCCAATGACTCATCCAAAACTATTGGAAGTAGGGATCGGACCACGTTTCAGTTCGCCCTGGAGACCCTGAAGGTCTCACCACTTTCCAGCCTCATTGTCTTGTCAGAAAGCATGGATAGGTCAGCTTACCTCCCAGACAGAAAGGGACGACTAAAACAAAATACATGCAAATCCGGTTATTGACCCTGGATGTCTGTCTGAAACAGGTTTTAGTCAATGATAACCATGAACGATTGAAATTAGCAATAAAACGCGAGTAAACTAAGAAATTGTGACAATAACCGCATTAATAAACTCGCCTCAAACGTTACTGTCTGTAGCCACACCGGTACGGAGGTCACTAACAACACCCCAAGCAGACGGCCCGGTCAGGCAACTCTCGGGAGTTTTGTTACAGTACCGGTGTTAGGAGATAATGTTTCAACGAAACAGTTAAAATCTCACCTCTTCACGGTGAACATTTTTCTTGTTAACCGTGTCCGCAAGTTCATCAGGTAAGAGCACCGACAGCTCAGTTCAGTCGATTTAACAGACTGGCTGGTCCGGGTTGCGCGTGAGGTCATCAGTTTACCCCGGCTGCTAATGCGCATGCGCTCTTGTGTGTTTATCTCAGTGCTTTGTGGATATTGTAGTACTGAACAAGAATATGAGAAACGTAACTTTAAATGACTTTAAAAACTTTGATGGTGTGGATATTTAAATGAAGCAACACTCAACATACAACTAATAACAAATTTGACAAATAAAATTAAAATACGAGTTTTCAAGGTTCCTAAAAGTGATAATAAAGCTCAAATATTTATTTTAGTTTAAGTAAATATACAGTAAAAATACTGATTAAATAATATTAGATTTTACAAACGTGTATTAATATTTTCCGGCTAAAAACAAATCAAATACATGTAAAAAAATTTAAAAAACCAGCAGCATTTTAAGTGATCCGTTGCACTATTCACTAAGTTTCCCTCTTGTTAATGACAAATTTGTTTAACTACTGCAGATGTAAAACATAATTTAAAACGAGAAACTCGTGCATTAATTTGTGGTCAATAACACAAATAACGATTTACTGCCATCTAGTGGCACAAAAAAGTACAAGTGACTTCAGAACAGCTTTTATCTGACAGTATTCAGAAACTTCATAGGTCATTATTAAAACCAATAGGTTGGTTTGCAACATTTAGAAAAAAATCACAACTTTAAGGTATCAACTGTTTCTACAGGGGTGTAACCCACCTCTTTGCACTCGATCCAGGGGTCTGAGAAATCCTGCGATGTCGCTCAGATCCAGAAATACTTGCAAACTATACAGCAATACTGGTGATTAATCTAAAACCTATTGTGTTTAAAAAACAATATTAGCAGAAGGCATTTTGTGTTTTGGAAATAAAAATGAATTCTTTAGAGTAGATTTTATTAGCATGTCAGCAATGTAAAACTAAAAGTGGATTAATGCTAACTGATGCATCTTTTAAAGCAGTTACCAATGTAGTTTCTTAGTAAAAAGCAAAGGAGTGAAGTTATTTTAAAACTATACCAGAACAGGGATCAAATGATTCTGCAGCACTACTGCTGGTCCTGAGATATATCAGTAAATCTGGTCACTTAATGCAACATTAGATGACAAAGAAGCCAGATTTAAATTAAAAATAAAAACGTTAATTTCAGATTCTTAAGTTAATTAAAAAAATGTTATCTGCTGAACAGAACAAATAAAATACAATCATCTGGTGGATAAATTTTCTAGATTTCCATTTTAAAAGAGAAAACTACTTTATATATATATATATATGTATATATATATATATATGTATGTATATATGTATGTATGTATGTATATATATATATAACGTCTCCAATACTGAAATCTTTATGGCCATTATTCCTGGATTGTTTATTTGTGGGTGGAGAGTGGGGAAGATGATGCGTCTATGTGAGCAGATTCCATATTTTACAGCAATTAAATATGTAAGAGGCTGTTTTATGATTGAGTAGGTTTAACTACAACAAATAAGATTTTTTTTTTCTTCTGAATTTTTGTCTTTGATACATATGCTCTTATCAGACATTTTGCAAAGAACAAAAATAAACCTTTTTAAAAAATGAAGTAAGTTTCTTCCAGATATAACATGAACAAATATTAAATAAAATATTTTAGCCACACTAATAATTACCCCGCAGCTTTCCCTAGTCAAACAAACTAGTTTAAAATTAACCCCGTCATATTATTAAGAATTAGCACCTGTCATGTGTGCTAATCTCAGGACACATTTTTAATCTCTTTGCTTATTTGACCAAAAATCCCATAAAAAAAGAAAAGTGATCATCATCCAAAGGCTCAGGTATAATTTATTAGTGTTCTTGCCACATTTCCACAACAATCTCGCATTTATTTTCAGGACTGATAACAATAAACGGGGGTGGGGGTAAACGGTCTTTCACTCTTTTTATGAAATGCAAGTCATGACATAATGTGAGCTGTATTCAATAAATCCCCTTAAGTAGCCTGTGCGATTAATACTTGGTTCTTTTTTCCATCAAATGACAATTTTTGCTCCCAGAGAATATTTACTGAGGACTCTTGGGAGCCATAGCAGCATAATAAACTGATTTTCTCCCCTCTTAGGGTAATAATAGAGTTTCGATTGTTAAATTTATTCTTATCTTTGGTGGTTAGTCTACAGCTTTAGATTGAATTGGCCTAAAAGTATCTAATATTATAGCTCAGCGACAAAAAGCAGTCTCACCCTTAAAGATGAACCTTCAGTAATTAAGCATCATGTAAACTAGAGTCACCTTTGACCTCTTTAAGGAAGAACACTGCAGGAAATACTGAGAGAAAAAAGAGAAAACGCCTGATTTAAATCGATGTCCATCCAGATAATGAGAGGTGGAGGCGTGAGGAGGGGCAGCACAAGTAGTTTCAGAAACTTTGGAGTGCTCGCTTTTTGCCTTTAGTGTGTGCAGATGAGAGTATGCATCAGAGTTTAGTGCCCCTCTGCTTCAGAGGGGAGGAATCTGTGAAAGCAAAGGGGCTGGGGAAGGTTGTGTCCACAGGGAGAAGACGAAAGTTGTTCTCTGCTCTTGGTTGCTGTTTCGGTGTGAGACGCTACGCCAGGGAGCGCTGACGGGGTTTGATTCTAGGACAGAGCTGCAAGGAAATAAAAACAAACAAACAGGAAATCTCATTATTTGTTGTTCCCTTCAAAAATTCATATTCCTTAATTCTAAAAGGAATGTATTCTTTTATTTACTATTTGTGTTTGATATTTTATTAGAGTGCTGAACTGAGACCAGAAACATTCAAGAATATTTAAGACTCATCAAATAAATAATAATAATAATAATAATAATAATAATAATAATAATAATAATAATAATAATAATAATAAAATGGTGATGAGAAAGCAAGAAATTCCTTCTGGGAATTATAGGAATTCCTACATTCCACATCATTAATAATTTAAATGACAAAATGATAAATTACCTTCAATTGTATAGCGCCTTTCAGAGTCAGAGGACTCCAAAGTGCTTAACACTACAGTGCATCATTCATCCATTCACACACTGATGGTGATGAGCTACATTGTAGCCACAGCTGCCCTGCCTCTGATTTAAACAGATGAATTATTTTTTTCCTTTTAAATACATTGGTAATTAGGGCAGCAGTAGCTCAACAGGTTGAGTGGGTTCAGGTTGTCCAGTAATCGGAAGGTTGCAGGTTCGATCCCAGCTCCGGACAGAGAATTCTGCTGTTGTGTCCTAGGGCGAGACACTTTACCCACCACGCCTGCTGGTGGTGGTCGGAGGGACCGGTGGCACCAGTGGTCGTCGGCTTCGCCTCTGTCAGTGCGCCCCGGGCAGCTGTGGCTACATCGTAGCTCATCCCCACCAGTGTGTGAATGTGTGTGTGAATGGATGAATGATACACGACAGTGTAAACTGCTTTGGAGTCCTCGGACTCTAAAAGGTGCTATACAAGTGTGGGTCATTTATTTATCATTCATCAATCATTTAATATTGTATTCCTTTCAACAATTTTGATGCCCGAACTTTCAAAAACAGCCTCATCAGCTCAGTCACGCAGTTAAATGTTTAAAAATGTTCAATAATAGGCTTTAATTTACATGTAATTCTCACCCATTTCAATAAAAGTTCACAGTTTTAAGCTGCTGGCTCAGCTGCTCAAAACTTTAATCAAGTATTTGAGTTGAACAAAATCAGGGCTATTCGAAAGATTGTCTGAAGATTTTCAACAGTCAGTTTCCGTTCTAGACAATAATGATGAGTAAATGTAAATAAAACAGAAGCAATGATAATGATTTTGCTGTTCATTAATATGAATATTATCTTCTTAATTTTAATCAGCTGATCAAAATATCTACCTATTTACTAGGGTTCACTAGGGTTCACGAGGGGCATAGAACCGTTTCGTTTCGGTCGACTTGTGCACCGTTTTGGTTTATTTTTTCTAGTGATGAACCAATATGAAATTTTTGGGCCAATACTGATATCAAGATCACTGTTATGGCCGATAACTGATATTTGCCGATACCGATAAACTGACATTGATGCTTCTAAAATCAGCAGATTTTGCATAGAATGAAAATTATTAAAGCTGAATTTACATTATTGTGTACACACAACACACACATTTACACTTCTGAGATGATTTCATTCACTGTTCACATGACTAAACAATTACACATCACCCCCCTCTCCCTCTGAAACAGATAAACAAATGGAGACCAGATGGACAAAGTATAGTTTTTTAAAATATCGGCCCAGTTTTATTTATCGAACCGATACCGATATGTTAAAAAATGACTGACATCGGCCGATACAGATATCGATACCGATATATTGTCCATCCCTATCTTTTTCCATTAAATAATGATTTTTATTTGCATGATTTAAGTGCAGCGGATAAAAGTTCCTAAGCGAGTTTTCGTACGGACCCTGTATTGAGTGACGCATGATGGCTGCACGCGCCCGATCTCAGAGCGGATCAAACCGGCTGGCTGTCGCTGCCACTGTGGAGCCTGTAGAGACGCTAAAAGGAGCGTTGCGTCGCCCCTCCCTCCCTTCTCGAACACTGTGTAGGCACACAGCAGCAAAAATGTAAAAAAAACACGTCTGTTGAACTTTTCCCCTGGGACAACTGATGAAAAGTTTTCATCCTACAACGAAAAATATGACGCAGAGTACGCTCGTTACTTAATACGAGTTTTAAAGAAGAAACTCTGGGCGGTGTGACGTAGGTTTTTAAGGCTCGCTGCAGAAATAAAAACAGGAGCATCAACAGTCAACAGCTTGTCTGGATGAGCGTGACACTCACAGCTGTGCACATAACCTGTGAAATAAAGACATCACGCTAGATCAGCAGCCTGTAATGACACCTGGTTCTGCTCACTATAGGAGCCGCTTCAGACAATAAATGAATGAATGAATGAATGAATGAATGAATGAATGAATGAATGAATAAATAAATAAATAAAATACCAAAAATTTTACGAACTGAGCCTTTCAAAACAAAACCAAATACAGTTTTAGCGTACCGTTACACCCCTGATATTTACATTTTCATAAAGAGAACAAACACGTTTCAACATATCAAAAACATTTCTATATTCACAGACTGGCTGATTAAAAGCAAACGGATGTAAACTAGTAGAAACTATGACGTATATTTGCAGTTACCCCCAGCAGGTTGCGGGGCACGTAGCCCTCTTTGTCCTCAAGCCGCGCCCACCACCACTCTGTTTCAGTCTCATCTTGTCGACGCACGATGGTGATGGCGTCCCCCTCCCTAAACGACAGCTCGTCTGAATTCTGGGCTTCGTAGGTCCACAGAGTGTACACTGTCCCCTTGTTCATCACGCCCAGCTTCTCCTGAACACCTGCACAGGGAGATTAAATGGATCAGATCCCTGTATATAACAATCAGACATTAAATAAAACTATTCTCACCGTGTAAAAACTGGGAGCACTGGATGTAGCCCTCCTCCATTTCCTCGCATTTATCTGCTGCCGTCTCCACGTCGCTAATAGTGGTGGCAAAGATTGCAGCTCCCGATTCCACCAGGATTTTGCAGAGATGAACGCTGTTGCAGGAGGCGGCACAGTGAAGAGGGGTCCTGCTCGAGCAAACATGGGTAGAAGGCAACAAAGATTCAGTGGAAACCGATCTGGAGTCCAGAGCTTGTGGGACAGCTGTCTGATGCTCACCATCCATCGCTGTCTGCAGCGTTGACGTTCACACCAAAATCCAGCAGGAACTTGACGATGTGGTGGTGTCCAGCACACACGGCATTGTGCAGTGGCGTGATGCCCTCGTCGTTCGGAGTGCTGGGATTCTCCACCTGGGAATATGAGAGACACGGTGAATAGGTGCTCTCCATGCAAACATGTAACAATCCCGAAGAGGACGACAAACCTCATAGATGATCCTCTGGACCAGATCAAACTCTCCCTCCAGAGAAGCGTCGAGCAGCAAGGCTAAAGGATTGAACTTGACTCTGAAGCTGTGGCCCGTGCGCTCAGAGTTTGGCTTCTTCAGGTTTGTGCGCTTATCCTTTAGCAAAAACGAGAAGGTGAGTTGCATCTTTGTTTAGTGACAATCTCTTTAAAAGCAGAAAACCTCCGATTCTCCTACCAGCTGTTGGGAGACAGCTGTGCCGCTCTCCTCTGGAGTGCAGACTTCCAGGACCGGGCTGGGGAATGACGCCTCAGAACCTTCCACAGTATTGTTGTTTTCCTCCAGCTCCTCTTCTTCAGAGGCATAAGCAGCTTCGTCAGGCGACGACGACACTGGCTCGTTGTCGTTAGCATCTGTGGCGGCGGGAGACGCCTCAGAGCCCAGTTCTTCCTCCCCCTGTGCTCGTGCTAGCGGTATCTCAGAGAGGAGGTTGCCGTTGTCTGTGTCACCCAAAGAATTGCCTCCCAGATACTCAGGAGGATTCGCTGGCTGATAAAATGGCGTCCCATTTCCAGCACCACTACCTCCTCCTGATCCACCAACTCCAGTCCCCTCGATGCCTCCTGCTAGCGTGTTAAATCTCTGGTACAGCAGTTTCTGGATGTTAGGTCCACTGGGGCCCTCTGGCTCTGTGATGGAGCTGCGCTTCTTCAGTGGCCTTGGAGCATTAGCTAGCTTTTTACGGAGCACCTCGAGGTCTGCATCACTTTGGTAGCGCAGCGGGGAGTGTACCATAGGTGTTAGCTTAGTGGGACTGAGCGGCCGTGGGATGTTCTCCACACTGGGAGGAGGTGCTGAAGGCTCCAGATGATGGAAGCTCTCCAGATCATCAAATTCTCCGTCTAAAGCATCTTCACCGCCCGGTTGGCTTTGGAGCATTGGAAAAGCCCCTCCTGTCTGGACAAAAGGCAGGGGGGAAGGGGGAGTCGAGCTGGAGGGGAGAACAGGTTTCCCGTATACTGGAACCAAAACAGAAAAAACAGAATTATGAGAACATCCCAACATTTTTTTCCCAGTTAATTAATTAGAATATTCAAAGTTCTTACCTGCTTTGAGAGCAGGCTTTAGTGGTTGGCTCTTTGGTGCCGCCTGCTGGAGGTACATGTGATAAATAGAGCTAGAATTCACAGTAGGGGGGCCCTTACGAGGCGATTGGGGTCGTGACCCTCTCTCTGGTATAAAGGGGCGCACTGCCACAGCAGGGGGCGGATCCAGACGCTCGCTAAACCCAGGAGGGAAAAGGGGTGCGTTGGGCTGGAAGGTGGGGCTCGGTGGGACCGAGATCCGCTGTTGGATCTGCTGGGAGGAGGAGCCCGTGGAGGGGGGGAGGCGGGACCAGGCCGGAGCTGGGGGGTTTGGAAGGGGACGAGGGGGAGGCACATCTTTGCGGCGCTCCAAGGAGCTGGCTGTGTTTGCAGAAGTGAGGTGGGATCCGTACGGCGGCGGCTGCGGCTTGGTGATGGAAGGAGAGGATACAGCAATTTTGGAATCTAGCACCTGTGGAAAAGCAGGGATTCCTTAAAGCATTCCATTTATGCAAAACACAGAAAAATAACTAAAAACTATTGAGTTTGTGATGATGTTTGAATACAAGGAGGTAATAGATGAACAGTCTAAACAAATCTGATTTACCTTTTCTGCATTTGGAGTGACAGGTGAGCCTGAGGGGGGGCTTTTGCCCTGACTATCAGTGCCTGAGTCTCGTCTCTCAGGAGGCTTTAGAGTCGTGCTGGTTTTGCCTCCAGAAGGCCAACCGGCATCATTAGCTGGAGGGGAAATAAAACAGTAAATATGCTGCAAAATGACCTGAAAAACAATACAAGCAAGTAAGGACAAAGTTTTTGGTTTTTTAAAATAGATCAACCACACCGTGAGGTTTTACTAAATACACTGAAAGAACTCGATACTCAGGATTTTGATACGTTCATCCTATTAATCAGACAAAACATGACACCGATTTCTGCCACAGAGTTCAAATGGATTTCTTCTTATTTAAAAACAAATAAGTTCTGATAATAAATACAAACGGATCCAGTAATGAGATATATACACACCACAGGGCATCACCAAGTAACTGATGAATAGGACAAAAATCCTGAGCCTTAACTTTGCAGCCATGACGACCATGAGCATGTATCTGTTAGCACTTAGCTTCTGTACTTGTCCTAAATGATAAATTCAGGTGTAGACTAGGGGTTGCATGACTTAATTTTTTTTTTAAGTCGACAGTCAAGTAATGAAAATCGAGTCGACTTCGACTAGTCGTTGATGACGTCATACACCTGAAGCGAGTGGGGGGGGGGGGGGGGGGGTCGGTTAGTTCGCTGGAGTTTTTGACAATTAAAATTGCGCCCACATTTTCAAAGTTAAACACATTTCTTTTAACAACGGTAGTTTCTGCATCTTGCATCAGTCCTCTCCCCCCTCCCTCTGCGCAGCAGCCGCAAACTCACTGATGCGCCTGCAGCCTCTCAGAGTTCCTGCTGCTCTAAACATTAAAATAATTTTTCATTTTCTGTTCCTCACTTCTGATTACCTTCAATGGTGTCTGTTTGTTGCAACCACCAGGTACAAAAACTAACTTGTATATTATTTGACTATTTTTCTGTCCTGCCTGTTTATTATCTTCCTGCATCTCCTCTCAATCCTAAAGAAAAACTGCTACCTGGGTTCATATATATTCACCTTATGAGTTACCTTTGAACTGCAGTTCTAAAAGATCTACCGACCGCAAAAACAGCGAAGTGCGAGCTGCTCGCCGGCCGCAGTGTGTCACCGGAGGACAACACAGATGATGCGCCCCACTCCACAGCAGCGGGGTGCATCAGGCAAAAATAAAAGACAGAAAACATAAAAGGAAATGAGCCGACATGAACGATCGCGTTACATTTGTTTTTGAGTGGCGACACCTGGTTTGATAATGTTACTGTGGCCGTGATCAGGATGCAGATGTCTGGAGTGCGTCAACAATCAGAGCTTTGCATGCGCAAGCTGGTTAAGATTAGGATGGGGGTGAGGGGAAGGATAAAATGGAAGAGGGAAAAGGTCACAATTTGGTTAAATGTCCGTTTTACTGCGGGTGTCAGTACTGACGCTCTGGCACAGCGCGTCGCCTCCGCCTCAATCCAGACACGCAGGGGCTCGTCACCTGCTGTCTTTTCCGAGGACTGCATCTTGTCATTATCACGTGACAGCGACTAGTCGATGACAGGCATAAAAAGTCACTACAGAGCAGTGAAGTCGACTAGTCGACTAGTTCATACAACCCCTAGTGTAGACAGTAATTTAGCATCAGTTTATTTAAATATCGCTGAAGGAGAAGAAGCAAAGGAGGGAAAAAGAAAAAATAAATAAATGCAAGAAGTAGCTGGTGACCAATTATGTCTGTGCTTTAATGAGCTGGAATGACAGGATATTAAAGTTACCAAGCGAATCAACGCTTTAGCATGCACATGTTCCTTCTGCATGCAAGTGTTTGCCCTTTGGTACTTTCTTCTTTTAGTTATGAGGATGACATGTGATGGTTGAGATTTGAAGCTAAGGAACGTTAGCAAACTTAAACAAAGCCTGTATGCTTACGAGGTGCTCAACCCTTCGAACCTTCTCAAAGTGTGCAAACGCCCACAGGATCAGCAGTGCTTTTTGATGCTAGTTTTACGTCATGTTGAATTTAATCAAGCATAAAGTAATTTAGCTGTGTTTTAACATGAAACCTGTTTGACTCTGAAGTCACTAACACAATAAGAAGCAGCAATATTTGGACTCGGCCAGATTCCAGTTTCATGTCATCTTGAGACTGAAACGGACACATTTATAGGAGGACTAATGCAGCAGTAGGAAAGTAAAATCTAATGCACTCTGAGGATCCTGTGCTACAATCCGGAGACCAGGTTCAGCGGTTTTCATCCCTTTGCACTCACGAGACGTGCCGTCAGAGCCACTGGAGGCTCCAGGAGCAGCGTGGGATTCTGATGGGGGAACCGGGTCCACAACGATGTCTAAATCAGACACTTTCCAAGGGCCGGGAGGCTTTCGCACACCGTCTGCCCAGAGGGAAGAGTAGCCCCACCCCAAACCCACCCCCCGTTCAAACAGAGACATCACAAAGACATAGGACAGACCAGGAGAGACAAGGGAGGGAAATACAGTTCACACAACACAGGAGAAGAGTGAGGTTAGAGAGGAAGGACTGAGAAATCACAGAAATCAAGTCAAAGCTGGAAACTAACAAGAGTTTGGGTAGGGAAGAAACAGTTCTGGTTCAGGAGGGAAAAGGAGCATGCACCAGTGCAAAGCTGGATTTATGATCCATCCTAACTGGACACTGTCCGTTTGAAACTGCTGATTTGACTCAGACCCCACTTCAAAACACCGCTAGATCAGATATTTGCCTCTAGTAACATACGTACCAAAGGTTTGAGGTTCTATATGGATTATTGAAAAAGAAAAACTACTTTTTAAAAGTTGTAACCAACCTGATTTGGGTCGTCCTTGGTTAGTTTGGTTACTAACACCTAACGTTTGAGGCTTCAATGGATCAGGCGGTAGGGTGTAGCCACCATCCTGTCGACTTGGTACAGGAACCTGGATGTAAGGCCCAACAGCAGCAACTCGACCCAACGTACCAGGAGCTGGTTGGGGGGAGGGAGGTCCATTGGCTCTATTTAACTGTAAGAGAAGAATCACACGTTACTAATGTTAACATAAGCATCAGCTCACCTAAGGGAACCGACAGACTTGCACAGCTGAGATCATCGCTTTTTAAATCCAACCCAAAACCATCTTAGAAAGAAAGGAGTTCAGTGCTGCTAATCTTACAGGGAGATTCTCTTTTTGACGTGCCTCAGCTTTTTTCTTGTAGAGGCGTTCCCGCAGCTCACTGATGCGCTTGTCCATGAGCGTCACTTCCATGTTTCGCTTGTTCAGAAGCTCCTTCTGCTGCTGTAGCTTGCCGTTTTGCTCCTGGTTCAGTTTGTTACGAATCTGAGGATGGTGACAAGTCCAAGTCACAAGCAAATGATCAGATTCACATAAAAGACGGAACCCTCCGTCACAGTAACCAGAGCTAGAGCGTCTGCATTACCTGGAGCTCTTGGTAGAGCTTACGAAGCTCCAAGGCTGCAGCACCAGTCACTTGACCGCCCAGACCAGTTTGTATCCCATTGAGCTTTCCTCTCCGCAGATCCTCCAGCTGCAGACTAAGCTGCTCCACTCGCAGAACCGCCGCCTGTAACTCAGCCTGCTTCTCCTGAAACAAGCCGCTGACTTGTTCGATCTCTGCTGCTGCACGTGTCAAAAACAGGAAATTAACTCTTTTAAAATCAAATACGACGAATCAGTGCCAATGAACGCCTGATGGTGTTCAGAGCGGAGCTATTACATACACAGGTTGCCGTTGATGACTTTGCTGTAGTCCACCTGGCCTCTCATTGCTCGGATCTTCTTGAGCTTGGCCTCCTGGCTCTCCACGCGGTCCTTTAACTTCTGAAGCTTTTCGCTCTCCGACACGGTCTGCTGCTGACGCCGCTCCTGCTGCTTCAGGTAACGCAAACGCTGCTCCTGCAGGGAACGGCACAGACACGGATGCCTCATGTGGGAGCAGCACACTGTATGTGTCGGTCTCTGTTAGACTCATCAGTTGTTGTGAGGACTTTCATTAAATCTAGCGTTTAAATAAAACATTTCAGTACTTGGAAAATAATCCACAAGGCACAAATTGATGAAGAAATCCCTTAAACTAGACTGAAATGAAACAATGTCTGAGGAGCAGAGAAAGAGTCTGATGACTTCATCTGAGCCCAAGTGAGAATTGTTCCAGTTAGGATCCCAAAAATAGGAAACGACAGGCCCAAGTTTCCAAATGGCTGCAGGGCTTCAAGTGGCCCTACTTTACAGACGCCACAACAAAGGCGATAAACAGTCCTACTGTTAGACTACAGTGAGCTTCGGCTTGCACGAGTGATCAGCAAACCGCGAGCACCAAGGTCAGAGGGAGTTAGCTCAGTGAAAAGACACAAGAGTGACAAAGCAGACAATTTAAGTGGCAGTTTCCTCAATTATGTGGAGAAATCGGAATGTGACAGAATCGATTCGGGTGTAAAACTGTAACAAATGAGACCAAACGTAACAATACTACTAGCTGATGTTGATGTAAAACCTGTGTGGTGGTAATCTTTGTTAGTGGATGTTAAAAAACAAACATTCTGACGTATTTTACATTTGCATGTGCTCATTGAAAAGCAGAATTAGATCCCAATTTAATTTGTTACATAATAGGCCGTCCCTGTCTAAGGTCATGAGACATCAATAGAACATTTGACTTCACAGTCAGCAAAGCCCGAGTTCAGGAAACTGCTGGAATTCTCTCATGCAAGTGGCTGACGCACGCAAATCTAGCATAAAACACACGTCCTCAATTTGTGTTTAGGGCGGGTTTAAAAACAGAAAGACAAAAAAAAAAAAAAAAGCAGGAGCTACCTTTGCAACAAGCATCTGCTGCTGAGCCTCGATTTGCTGCTGCTGACGGGTGGCCATCTCCTGCAGCTCTGACAGCGTGAGCTCCACCCGCTGATTCCCCACCTACACAAACACAAACAGACCAGTGAAGATGCTGAAATCTGACATGATCCTAATGTCAACACCCACAGAGATGTTTCAGGAAACACTCACATGAACCGACAAGAGAGGAAGATAAAGATTTATAACACCACTCTTTCATGTGGGTGAGTTCCGAGTCAGATCGAGCCCCGACCTGAAATTTTACTCCTCTCCTGGAGCTCCCATGACCAAGTATGACCCACTTTAGTAGATGCACGGCTTTTTCACAGAATTAAAATCTTTGTAAAAGAGAATTTAAACAAAAGAAAGATATTTGTAATCAGCAGCCTGTAGAGAGTCGAGGGTCTCCCTACTCCAAAAACATCCTGGTTGTGACACATTTCATGTGATGAAGTGAGCAAAGTATTAAAGCCGATGAGGGCAATGTGCTATTTGCTGGCATTAGCTCCATATAATCTCACACAGGGGAGAGAACACTGAGCTACAGTACCAGCAGCCAAAGTCGGTGCTGCTTCAGAGTCTCCAAAGAGTTATTCAGTCCCACCAGACTTGTAACGACAAATATTTGTTTTAACTTAATTTCCATGATGTCTATGAGACAAAGCTCTACACAAGCACAGGCTGTTGTATTTAATTAGTGTTAGAATTATGTAACAAATGCAGCTGTATGAGAGATTATCTGCACGTGATCTCTAGTAGCTGTAAAAAACATTCTTGTTTTATCTCATAAAAACAGTCCAAAGTCCATCCCAGAACTAACTTACATACAAATCCAGGAAATGCCAAAGGTCACAAAGCAGGTTCGACTTTTTCTGAGTTTCTTTTATGGGCCATTCCCATCTGTACCGGGTCGGCCCGGGCCGGGTAGCCCCAGTCAGCCCCAGCCTGGCCCGGTTGATTCCACACATCCTTGTCTTAAGCCCATGTGGGCTGATTCTACCCACCAATCAGAGGCTTGCTCTAATGGAAGGTGTGAATGGGCTGATTCTACCCACCAATCAGAGACTTGCTCTAATGGAAGGTGTGAATTTGCTGTCAGCAATGGGCGTGTTGGCCCTGGTCGGCCTGAAGCAGTACCCCTCGGGAAGAGGGCCGAGAATGAGCCTTGGTTGGCCCGGGAAAATTCCAGGCCACCCAGATATGTAAACAACCTACGCTACCCGGCCCGGGCCGACCCGGTACAGGTGGGAATGGGGCTTTTGAGATCAAATGACTAACCACGACACTCACAATCACGTTTAACTGGGAAGAGGAACCCATCCATGCCTGAGAACATGCTAACCACGCGCTGAAAGGCTGCAGTCGAGGTTTCCACCTGCAACCTCCTCACTGAGAGGCGACAATGCTACCAACCACGCTACTTTACAACCATGGCTAAAATGCAAAAACAATCCAAAATCAAAAGTTAAAAAAAGACTCAAATATTTAGCTATAAAAACATTTTCTGTTGATAATCTCAAACCATCCACATGTTTTTGTTCATTAGAAAAACGAAATTATTCAGATTTAAAAGTTACTTTTCTGTTAAAGGGATACTTTGCAGTTTGGCACTCCATAGTGTCCGCTAGTGAAACTTATCTTCTCACTGTGCGTTCATCTTTTTAACACCTTAATCTAACTGCTGAAATAGCTCCTCAGCCTTCATTAGTGTCTACAGGAGGAGTTCATCACTAAATCAAACAAATGTAAGCATAAAAGCTCCCATTTATTAAGTGCAGGTTCTTGATTGGCACTCTGAAGTTGCAAGTGCAATATTCTGGTCACAGAGGGCAGTGGGGTCTGAGTGACATTTCAATAACCCTGTAAAGGTTCATTTGACCACATACTGGCTCAAGAAAATGATTTTAAGATATGAAAAAGTTACATAGTATAGCTTTAAAGGGGCATGAAGTAAGAACTACACCTTGTGGTTGAATTTGGGTACTGCAGTCCATGAATAAAACAAAAAAGTACTCCAGCCGTCGAATTACAAATGCTGATTTGAGTGCTTGCGTAGAAGACTCACATCTGATTGGCTCTGGAACAAGGAGGTATGGAAGTGGGGCAGATTGTAAACAACAGCACCACTTTGCTGGCTTTTTAAAAGGAGAAAAACAGACGACCCCTCCAGCCGACTGAGAAAGAAATGAGTTTTATTATGATCTTCTTTCCAACATGATCGAGACAGTAGACGGTTTTGTGATTATTTCACAGTAAAATCATTTCTTTTTGCACTATTAATTAATTCCTACAGCTCCAAGAAGTTACAGCTCTAGCATTAGGTGGCTCTTTTAAAGGTAGTGTTTGCATGGTGAAACTAAAGTAAAGAGATTCATGCAAATAACACCAACCTACTTACAGGTAGCTGCCTTCATATAAAAATATCTGGAGAACTTTATGCAAAATTAATGAGATTTGGTTTCACCTCCACAGACGTAGTTCTCTTCTTCACCCGCACCCCCCCCCCCCCCCCCCCCCCAAAAAAAAGACGTTGAAAGCTTGCAGAGGCAGGAAGGTTTTTCTGATGCTTTCAATTCTGCTTTCCTCCAAAACAAACTTCTAAAACTTCTCCACTGGCAGATTTTACCTTTCAGTAGAAGAGCATGAAGTGAACATGCCCATCTAAACAACACATTTTACTGACTAGCATCAAATGCTGCAACGTTAGCTTTCAGGAGAACGTTCTTAGAGATGACGCTATGAATGGCGGAACGATTTTCTACAAGGACATGAACTGGTTTGTGTTCCTGTTTTTCTGGTGGCAAGACAGCTCATCACAATAGTAAATAATCCTACACGTACGTAAAGGCATGCAATGGAAGATGAATCCCAAACAGGGGCACAATGTTACAATCCACTGCCCTGACTCGATGAGTGTGGGCAGATATTCCTGTGACTCATCTAATCTGAATAAAACGTGCTTCTTTTCTAAAATGTACTCCACTTTATTGTGCAGGTAAGCAACATTCAACTCAAACGTGGCCTGATCTCAATGCAGTCTCCCCCTCAGTGGAATTTGTTCAAGCAGGACTCAAAGAGGGGAATGGGGAGTGATGTGTAGGAAGCCACTGTCACACACAAAGAGCCATGCTCAGATGCACTCAAACAAAACTGCATCAATGACTATTCGCCCCAGGGAGGGAGAGAGGGGGAGAGAGAGAGAGAAAGAGAGAGAGAGAGAGAGAGAGAGAGAGAGAGAGAGAGAGAGAGGGAGAGACACACACACACACACACACACACACACACACACACACACACACACACACACACACACACACACACACGCACACGCACACGCACACGCACACACACACACGCACACACTTCAATGGCAGTAGGACAAAACATTCTCGACTGAGCAGTCAAAAGCTCCAACTGGGACAGATAAATAACCTATATCAGTCTATAAAACAAGCAAAGAAACCAAATAGTCACCTGAAAATCTAGGTAAACTGTAGCAATAGCAATGCTCTGAAGGTTGGTCTAGCCACACTCCATTGTAGTCTCAGCAGATCTACCATTGGCTTTGCTACGTTTAGGCCAGGCCAATCACAATGCTATGTTTTATTTTTACAATAATGGCAGAGCTGTTACGAAACAAAACAACAAAGATGGTGGCGACTCAAGAACAATGTTTGTTTAAAACAACGTTGGTATCAAATTTGAACGATTGGGCTTTTCTTTGAGACATGAGCAGACAGAGGTACTGAAGTTCTTTATTTCAACAACGTATTGGCTTCTTTGACGGTGTACGGCGAACTGTCCCGTAGACAGTTTTCTGTGGTGATGAACACATTGTTTGTTGTTCTGATTAGTCCTAGGGCTGTCCAATTGCGTGAAAAGACAACCGTAGATTCCACCCCACGACTGAACTCTGTCTAGGGGCCGTGGTTAGCCTATATATTAACATATATAGGATGGCTTGCCAGGCTAGCCGAATAGCTCTTTGGTAGAAGATCAAATGTAGAATGTAGTAGACCTACATCGCCTACCTGCTGCTATCAGCACTTCAAGCAGAAGTCGTGATCTATAAAATTAAAATGTATGCTTATCAGCCTCCCTAGATGGCTGATCAGTTCTGCTTGGAGGAGAATACATCTTCTGGAACAGCAGCCTGTGGAAAAAGTCAGAGGAACTGTCCTCGTTTGAACCGTTTCATCAGCTAACTGATCTGAATCCCTGAATTAGTCATTAGGAAGAAATGCTGACTTAAATAAGTCCTGCCATTAGAAGGTAATGGAGTGCCAGTTAGAGGACTGCATTGGGATTGGGTCCCGCGGGACCCAACACAAATCTCGCGGGAGCAGGCAGTGTGAATTTTGCTGCGGGCGGGAACGGTCGGCTAAAAGAAACAGTGCAGGATTGGGATGAGTATGATGGAGTCGGCAACTGATGTTGAAAAGAAGCTGAAACAAGGTCTTTATGACACAAAAACCAAGCAAGGCAAGTCAGACATTTGGAGGAGTTCCTCAATTGTTTGTGACAAAGCTGGAAACGAACTGGACTTTGTCAGCTGCGACAAATGTGCAAAAATACTAGTCTACAATGGACACAAAATCCACTCCCAGCACATCACTTCCACTGCCGTGGTCCATGAGACTCAGTGAACACTGCCAAGCTGCATCCCATGAGCCCTTGCTCTCTAAAGTCGCCAATGTGTGTGCCTCACGTCTGGAAGAACTTATGGGCACCAGTGAAACATCTGCATCCCCTCTCCACATGATGTATAGGATTGCAACACTGCTGGCTCCTAAAATGCGACTGCTACGGATGCTGCCCTCAGACACAAGAGAAGATGTAATTAAAGGTATGCTGCCTAGCTTTTTATAAAAACAGAAAATAGCATGCAATGCAGTTATAATTAAAATTATAATTTAAATGCATTTTAAAAATAGAAAGAGAGATAAGACAATGAATGAGAGGCAAAATAGCTAAATGAATGACACGAGCCATTTTAAAAATAAATATTTATTAATATATGAATAAAATCCTTTTTTAAAGGCACAAAGGATATTATTCAGAAGATGCAGTTTGACCTAGTCCCAGCCACAGCAGAGGATGAGCCACCACCAGCCAAAAGGCAAAGCACAGAACGATTTGCAGACTGGGAAGATGCTTTGCTTCAGCGCCAAAGTCGGTCGATGATGAAATTTCTGAATATCTCACCTGCCGGCTCTCTGACAACCCAGACCCAGACAACGTGCTTCAATGGTGGAAGTTCAACAAAGAGCGCTTCCAAGCGCTCTCAAAGCTGGCGCGCTTCATTTTCAGTATCCCTGCATCCAGTGCGCCTTCAGAGCGGGCATTCAGTGTCTGTGGGCGCATCTTGGAAGAGAGACGCACAGGATTGGCATCGCATTCGGTCAGCCACATTCTCTTCCTCCACAGCAATATTCCAACCAAGTGATTAATTACTAAATTTAATTTTTTTGGGTTTTAGAATTTATCTTTGTTATTTATTAGTGTTATCTGAGCCACTCAATCTGTTGCTATTTGTCAATTAGGTGCCTGTGTTACTGAGCAGCATGCCTAAGTTTGAACGTTTTTATTTATTTTAACTTTTTTTTCAAACAGAACACCTGCAATATATGGCAAAAAACTTTAAATCTGCTGTTTTTCATGTTTATATGGTACTTATTTTGCAAAGCGATCTATTTTATGTACCATGTGATTGTGTTAATTTTTTATACACGTGTATAAAAACAAAGTTATTAAAAGTTATTGCACTGTGTTGTCTATATGCCAATTGTGTTAATATTTCTCTTTCAGGTCTCTCTTAGAAAAGTAACCTCGATCACTGCCTGATTACAGAGAATAGAATATGAAACGACCTTGATTTTCCTTTAAGCACCACACCGTAGCTCCTTTATGTATTTGAAATCACATGCACCGAGGCGTCACTGGTGATCCTGGTGACGTCTCGGCGTTAAAGGGTTAAAAACTAAATGAAAACAAAGTGCGTCAATCCTGACCAATATGTTAAAAGACGTGCAGGCCTGAGAAACGAATCAAGGATTCATGTGGTTTCTGTATAGCCTATAAAATGACATGTTTTCTCCAGGACCAGAGAGGACACAATACATCTCTTTTATTGTGAGGTAATAATTTCTCAGAGTCTTGTGGTTGCGGGCGGGAGTGGACATAAACGCTGCAGGTGCGAGCGGCAGTGTAACCCACACGTTGCGGGTGGTAATAGTCAGAAATTCAGCGGGAGTGGGCAGGAGTGGGATGAAGAAAACAGTCCCACGCAGGGCTCTAGTGCCAATCATGCGCCCCCTTGAGTGACCATCACAGATGAAAACAATGGTTTGTTTTAGGGTTGTGACGTTCGAACAAAGATCTCATCACTTTCCAGCTCTGAAGTCCATATGTTAGGTGTGTAATACCACTCCATCTACACCAAATGACTCTGAAATACTTCACATGAGTGAAATAAATCAGCTGATGAAAAGCTGATGGATGGATTTTGGTATATTGATCAATCTGAACACACAGGATGGTCCTGAATCTTTAAAATTTACCCTGAAGCTTCCATCAGCACTGAGATGGTCAACAAATCCCCAAGTTTCATCATCAGAGGTAATTGCTCTGGCCTTGACTGATGCAGTGATGTTCTAGATTTTTGATATTTGTATCTCAAAACTGGTAGTTAGGCTTATACATTATTTTCGTCCTGTTGAAACTAAGTTTTTAGAGTTTGTAAACAGATGAAATGATGGCTGATTTTGTTCCATGTGGATCCAGTCTTTATTTATAACATTATTTTAAACAGTCTATGTGCCCTTCATCACATAAGATATGCTGGTTTCCTCCCTTAACCCTTAAGGTTCAATTAGTTACATTTCCTCGACCACAACACTTTGATGCTAAATCTGGAACAGATGGTCAGACAGAGAAAGAAAGTGATGCCAGAGGGTGCTCTTATCAGTCACTCACATCTCAGAGCTGACACATCCTAAAGCAAAGCAGCAGAACAGGCACAACAACACACACCAAACACTAGAACTTGGACAATGTCTATAAAGCTAACATTATTAAAGATCACAGTTGATGATCTTTCTGATGTACAGGGTGTAACTGATGTTGAACAGCAACAAATTAACTATTTTTTACAATATAGCTCTTTATATTATAAATGATAAATGACCCGCACTTGTATAGCGCCTCTCAAGAGTAAGGACTCCAAAGTGCTTTACACTACAGTGTATCATTCATCCATTCACACACACATTCACACACACATTCACACACTGATGGTGATGAGCTACGATGTAGCCACAGCTGCCCTGGGGAGCACTGACAGAGGCAACATGTGTGTGAATGCAATGTGATCTTAGATTATTGATTAGATAATAAATCTCTCACCACGTTCTCATTGTGCTTCTCTCCGGTACTTCCTCCTCTGCGATTGGTTTGATCCTGAGACTGCTGACTCCCTGCAGAAAATAAACATCAGAAACCATCATTAACACAAAGCACATGTTTTCCTGCAATATTATATCGATATTCAAAAGCTGTGTATCTAATTTTTGGAAGAATTTACATGCAAACATTTGTGTATTTTATTTTGGTGCAATTCGAACGCCGACCGCTAGTTGGCAGCAGTGTGCACTGGGTTTTGTTTCCACCAATGAAATGTAAATCCATCTGTTATGGTTCAGATACGACAACATGTTAAAAATGTTATGCATCAGTTTTGACTGTTTATTGAATTTTACTACAGTAAATTCAGTCTAAAAAATCACTAATTACTGACTGAATGTATCACAATATATTGTGATATTTTGTAACGTCTCCCCTGTATCATGATACGTATTCCACCAATGCACATCCCTAACCTAAACTGCCTGAAAATAGCCCTTTTATAAGACACACCGTGCAGGCTAACCAGCGTAAAATTACCACAAAGGTGTGTCTTATAAATGCGTCATGCTGGCATGGCGTCATGCAAATTTCGTGGCATGCGGGAATCTCCTCGCTTGGTAAGTAATATTGAGGTAATTGTATGTCTTACAATATGCGATTGCGCTTTGGCGCAACAGAGGTGTCATAATGATGTAGACCCTGAAGACCCTTCTCTTCAGAGAGCATCTTCTAAACTAGCACCCTCCCTGCACCCATCCCCCTCTCTACTGTTCACTCCTTGTTCCTTCCTCTCCAAGACTAAAGGTTGGTTTATGCTTGACGCATCCACGAGGTCCGCACGGCTCCGCGCGGAAAAGTTGCGTCATTTTAACAACCACGCCCCTCCACCGCGCCTCCGCACGGCCCAGAATTTCCGCAACGCGCACCTCGGAAAATTTCTAACCACGCGGACGGACGGACGCGGAAAAACATGGCGGACCGGCGAGAACTAGTATGGCAGAGGTTCGTAAATACAGACATTTGTATGATTCAGCTCTCAGAGATCACCGTGATCAACATGTTGTAAATAATTCTTGGAGAGAAATAGCTCGCACTGTCGGAAAAGACGAGGACGCTGTTAAAAATGCTGAAATGCCGTGTTGTAAACAGTAATTTCTACTTCTACTATGGTGTAGTGTTGGATGCATGCCGTAGAGCTCCATGCTGCCCCGTTCAGTTTGGGAGAATATTGGCTCACCGCAGAGACGAGCCGCACGGACCATAAACGCTGCGAGTTGTGAAGCGCGTTCCATCCGCGAGCCGCATCACCGCGCGGAAAGTGAATGCGTCAAGCATAAACCAAGCTTCATCATGCTGCCTCACTGCCACCTATGACTGACTGGAAATTGGTTGTTGTTCTTGTTATTGTTGTTGTTAGCCTCAAGGGCAACATGCCGATTATCACTTGTAAGTCGCTTTGGACAAAAGTGATTGCTAAATACATAAACATAAACATGCGGGGCCAAGCTAAACACGGCCGTAAGTTTTGGTTTTTGAACAAAATCAGCTAAGAAGGGAAACTGGAGCGCTGCAGCTCTTCAGGAGCTTCTCTGTTAGAGCTGGAGGTCAGCTCAACAGAGGCTGTGGGGGACAGACACCTTTAGGAACGGCTTGTTAAAAATACTTATCAATCGCGGCTTCAATTGCAATAAAAAGCAAGTTATGGCTAAGATAAACGGAAGTCTGCTGCAGCACAAGGACCGGCCCCATACTCCCGCCATCACCTCATCTTTTATAAAAAGTATACGATTTCGCCACATCACCGCCACGGTCTGACCACTTATAAACAACCTAAGGCTTCCTGGTGCCGCCATGGCATTGATTTGTAAAAACGGCTAACGTATTCATTTAAAAAAACAAAGCTGACTTTGTAAGATACCAGCAGATAAAGCTTCAGGTAAATTAAGCTGAAATTTTTTTAGAGCCCCACAAAATCCATTCTCAGATTTATTCTGATCTTGTGTTCCCCCAAAGTTTTATTTTGGTTATTCATCAGAAAAACAGCCTGAGTTCTACTTTTGGAAGAACAGCGAAAACCCTAAGAGATCTCAGACCGTTACGAACCTTGATCGCTGCTCTCAGTTGGTGAATCTTCATGACGGAGGAAGAACTTGACTTCTTGTTTTCGTGGTCCCCACTTCTGCAAATGTTCGTACATCATGTGCTCAAAGGGGATTGCTCGCTCTAAAAGGCAGAAAAGTTCATAAAATCAGCTTAGATCCAATTATGAGTCCTACAGACGCCACATCTGTAGGTTTTAGAAAGAAACTCACCAATTAGCCGGTGGAATTGTTACAATTTTTTAAACACGGTTCTGTGAAAAGATTGACATTTATTGGGAAGTGGGAAGAAGCATGCTGCCCAGTGTAAAGTATTAAAGTTGGGACTTTTAAAACCAAATAGAAAGGATTAGGTGCCAGATTAAATCAAGTTATAAAGGTAGACAAAGTTCAATGAGACCAGATTAAGAAAACACAGCCAGTGGAAATGGAAACCAGTAGGTCAAAGAGATGGTTTTTAAAAAGTTGAACCAGCTCATTTTCCCTGACCTATAAATTTGTACTTGAATTATCATTCGTCTTAATAAATGTATTTCTGCTTTTTTTGGGTTCTTCTCAAATAGAGTAGAAGGAGTCACCGCTCGTCTGGGAAAGGTGCTGGATCAAAAAGTGGAATAAACACAATAAGAATCCGCACACTTCAATCTGCGATGTAGGAGTTTATTGGTCAAGCTTTCGGTCAAAGACCTTCATCAGGAATCGATTCTGACCGCAGATTGACGTGTGCGGATTCTTATTTTGTTTATTTAGGTTCTTCTCAAAAATCTCAGTTCAATACCAGAAGCAGTTTAGCGTTTTTACAATAAAAAATACAACTAAAGGCTTCATAAAATAAAATTCCTGCACACTCAGCAAGAACAGAGTTTTAGATTACATTATCTTTACAAAACCTAATCTGCTTCTTGCACTGGATGGTATGAAAATATGAAAGGAAACAGTCACTCGTACTGCCTCAGAAGTTAGGAAAGCTCTGGATCAATACTTCCTGCAGATCTTACCATTGCCTCTCCAGACCTCAGCCAGGTGGCAGCCGCTCTCGCCGGGCTCTTTACAGAAGTCAACAACGTCTCGGCACGTCGTCTCGGGTGTGATGGGTACCTCAGCTGCGGCTTGTTCTCCATCACTGAGGTACACAGTCAATATCATCTGGAAATCACATGACAGCAGTCAGAGGAGAACAAATAACCTATATGAATAATCCTACATGTGGAAGGAATCTCAAACTACACGACTGAGATTAACGCTGAAGCTACTGAAGCATAAAGCCCACTGTGCCGACGCTGCATTTTGCTGCCGACCATCAGAGATTGCTAGTGAGAGCTGCTGATGAACATATTTCTGTTTAGGACATGCTGTTACAGTGTTGATCATGCAGTTTAAACGGTTTAAAGTCGCACTAGCAAAGATAAGATACTGTTGGGTTCTCACAAGTTATTTTACACAAAATCTTAAGTTCATGACACAACAGGTGAATCCAAGAGTAAGAATATTTCTAATTCATCTAAATGTATCCATTTCTTCTCAAGAACCAAGAGACAAAGCATCAATTATGTGAGAAAGAAAACTGTAGTGGACAAATCAAAGCAGGCTGTAAACTAGGGGTGTGTACTGGCAAGAATCTGGTGATACCATCACGATACAGCGGGGACAAAACGATATATTGTTATAATAAAATCCAGACGATATTTGCAATCTTTGCAAACTCAGACCCATAGACATGAGTATGAAGATGCCCCATTAGGCGCTGGAAAGCGTAACACTGTCCCCGCCATACTGGGTGGGTTCCTCACTCTCCAAACCCAACTGGAGTCAGCACAAGGTGGGCAACTGCTTTTTGTGTGGCCCACGGTTGCAGCAAGTGGCGTACTATTGAAAACAGATCCCATGGGACTACTTTTGACTTTTCTAGCCTAACTGTTAGGGATTAATATTTTTATTTATTTTATTATACAGTCAGGTCCATAAATATTGGGACATCGACACAATGCTAACATTTTTGGCTCTATACACCACCACAATGGAAGACCACAGAAAACAACTGTGGTGAATGACAGAAGAATCCTTTCCCTGGAGAAGAAAACACCCTTCACAACAGTTGGCCAGATCAAGAACACTCTCCAGGAGGTAGGTGTATCTGTGTCAAAGTCAACAATCAATAGAAGACTCCACGAGTGTGAATACAGAGGGTTCACCACAAGATGTAAACCATTGGTGAGCCCCAACAACAGGAAGGCCAGATTAGAGTTTGCCAAACAACATCTAAAAAAGCCTTCACAGTTCTGGAACAACATCCTAAGGACAGATGATACCAAGATCAACTTGTACCGGAGTGATGGGAAGAGAAGAGTATGGAGACGAAAAGGAACTGCTCATGATCCTAAGCATACCACCTCATCAGTGAACTTGGTGCTGGAAGTGTCATGGCGTGGGTATATATGGCTGCCAGTGGAACTGGTTCTCTTGTATTTATTGAGGATGTGACCGCTGACAAAAGCAGCACGATGAATTCTGAAGTGTTTCAGGCAATATTATCTGCTCATATTCAGCCAAATGCCTCAGATCTCATTGGACGGCGCTTCACAGTGCAGATGGACAATGACCCAAAGCATACTGCAAAAGCAACCAAAGAGTTTTTGAAGGGAAAGAAGTGGACTGTTTTGCAATGGCGAAGCCAATCACCTGACCTGAATCCGATTGAGCATGCATTTCACTTGCTGAAGACAAAACTGAAGGGAAAATGCCCCAGGAACAAGAAGGAACTGAAGACTGTTGCAATAGAGGCCTGGCAGAGCATCACCAGGGATGAAACCCAACGTCTGGTGATGTCAGTGTGTTCCAGACTTCAGGCTGTAACTGACTGCAAAGGATTTGCAACCAAGTATTGAAATGTAATGTTTGATTTATGGTTCTTATTCTGTCCCATTACTTTTGGTCCCTTAACAAGTGGGAGGCACGTATGCAAACTGTTGTAATTCCTACACCGTTCACCTGATTTGGATGTAAATACCCTCAAATTAAAGCTGACAGGCTGCAGTGAAAGCACATCTTGTTCGTTTCATTTGATATCCATTGTGGTGGTGTATAGAGCCAAAAATGTTAGCATTGTGTCCATGTCCCAATACTTATGGACCTGACTGTACTTATATTTTAACTATCACGCGATACAATTAGTCTGATTTTGTGAAAATGCATTTCAAAATGTGTTTTTAGTTGGGTAAACGCCTTCCTTAGTACAAATAAATGCACTAGGGTCAAATGGAGACCCCTTCAAGATGGCGGCTGGCCACTACAGCAGCTCCAAAAGGGAGCCTAGGTCACGTCCATCTACTTCTGGACCATGGGTCACCAGAAGAACAAAAAAAATGAGTGCAAATCAATGGGACTAAAAACGCTTATTTAAATTTTCGTTTGTTATGTGCAATGGATTTCACATACGATGTCCGTGAATTTAAAGAGGCATTTTGATACCAAGAACATGCTTATTTTCAAACAGGGAGAAATGTTATTTTAGGTTGTGTGAAAATAAGTCCAGGACCACAAATGTGCATCACCAAAGTGACATAATTGAACCAAACACGGACAAAAACAGGAAAAATGGCTAAGATCAGCGAACGTCAAATCCTTCTTTCAGGAGGAAAGAACCACCATAAATCTAGTCATGTGGTAAGTAGCAGCTACGCTAGGGGAGAGGAGATTCTGTGGTGATGTCATATATGAGCTGCCGGTGACTGATTTGTAGTCATGCTAATTACGAACTTTTACAGGCTGATAAATCTCAAAGTACGTGACTGGCGTGGTCGAAACACACATCATTCCTTTTCATTTAAATAGAAGTACAACATATGTGCGATCCAGAGCGTAAGGCAAAGTGGATTAGAAAATAGCTCTTTTAGCCCCGTTGACTTGCATTCATTTTTCGTTCTTCTGAGAACCCATGAGCCGACCGGAAAGGGCGGAGACTTAGCCTCACTAAAGGCAGCGCCAATCCACGAGGTGTCTACATATATGATGTCTGCGCTCAGGCCAGATGTTTCCAAGACACTTCCAGTGTAATTGTGAGATCTCATTGTTCCATTGGAAGGAAGGTTGTAAAAACTCCTGCCCCCTAGTGGTTGGGAGTTTGGATTGCACCACACAAAAGAAACCGGTAAATGTTTGCATTAGGGATGGGTAATGGTGAAATCATGGCGATACAATACGCATCACGATAGAGGGAAGACGATACAACATATCATAATAATATATATTGCAATACATTCAGTCAGATGATATTAGCCATTTTTTTAGACTGAATTTATTATAGGAAAATTCAATAAACAGTCTAAAGTCATACTTAACATGTTTAACATGAGGCATCTGAACCATGATAGAGGAATTTATATTTCAATGGTGGAAACAAAACCCATCGCACACTGCTGCTAGCTAGCGGTCGGTGTTTGAATTGAACCAAAAGAAAAGAAAACACACAAATGTTTGCATGTCAATTCTTCCAAAAATTAGATACACGGCTTTCGAAAATCGATATAATATTGCAGGAAAAAAATCACAATATGTTGCAATATCGAATCGATATTTTCTTACATCCCTAGTTTGCATGTAAAGTTTAAAAAATAAATAAATAACTAAACAATGCACTGTATTTAAATATCACTTGACTATCATATGAAATATCACCATATTTTAATGCAGCACATCAATATTTGGTTGGATGAGCCCATGCCCGAACCGGATGCATGGGCTCATCCAACTGTGGACCCACCACCTGCAGAAGGAACATGAAGGGTTCGGTGCAGTGTGGATCGGGTGGCAGACCGTGGCGGGAGCCTTGGTGGTCCGATCCCCGAACAAGAAAACTGGTTATTGGGACATGGAACGTCAACTCACTGGCGGGGAAGGAGCAGGAGCTTGTGGCAGAGGTTGAGCGGTACCAGCTAGATATAGTCGGACTCACCTCGACACATAGCATTGGCTCTGGAACACAAGTCCTTGAGAGGGGTTGGACACTCTCCTTTGCTGGAGTTGCTCCAGGTGAGAGGCGGAGGGCTGGGGTTGACTTTTTGTTAGCCCCAAGACTCCCTGCCTGTGTGTTGGGGTTTACCCCGGGGGACGAGAGGGTAGCTTCCCTGCGCCTTCGGGTCGGGGAACGGGTCCTGACTGTTGTTTATGCTTATGCGCCAAATATCAGTTCAGAGTACCCACCCTTTTTGGTGTCCCTGGGACGAGTGCTAGATAGTGCTCCATCAGGGGACTCCATTGTCCTGCTGGGGGACTTCAATGCTCACGTGGGCAATGACTGCATGACCTGGAGGGGTGTGATTGGGAGGAACGGCCCGCCTGATCTGAACTCCAGTGGTTTTTCGTTATTGGACTTCTGTGCAAGCCGCAGTTTGGCCATAACGAACACCATGTTTGAACATAAGGATGCCCATCGGTACACTTGGTACCAGGGCAGCCTTGGTTGCAGGTCGATGATAAGACTTTGTAGTCGTATCATCTGACCTGCAGCCGTATGTTTTGGACACCCGAGTGAAGAGAGGAGCGGAGCTGTCAACTGATCACCACCTGGTGGTGAGTTGGATCAGATGGCAGGGGAAGATGCCGCGTAGACCTGGCAGGCCCAAACGCATAGTGAGGGTCTGCTAAGAATGCCTGGCAGAAGAACCTGTTAAGACGGTCTTCAACTCCCACCTCCGGCAGAGCTTTGACCGCGTCCCAAGAGCAGTGGGGGACATCGAGTCCGAGTGGGCCTTGTTCACTCTGCGATTGTTGAGGCGGCCGTTGCTAGATGTGGTCGCAAGGTGGCCGGTGACAGTCGTGGTGGCAACCCCCATAACCGCTGGTGGACACCAGAGGTTTGGGGAGCCGTCAGGCTGAAGAAGGAGGCCTACAGGGCGTGGCTGGTCTGTGGGTCTCCAGAGGCAGCAGACGGGTACCGGATAGCCAAGCGGGGAGCAGCAGTGGCAGTTGCCAAGGCAAAATCTCGGGCGTGGGAGGAGTTTGGTGAGGCCATGGAGAAAGACTATCGATCGGCGCCAAAGAGGTTCTGGCAAATTGTCCGGCGCCTCAGGAGAGGGAGGCAGCAACTCGCTCACACTGTTTACAGTGACGATGAGGAGCTGCTGACGTCAACTGGGGCTATAGTCAGG